GTTCGAGCCCTGGTCCGGGAAGATCCCACATGCCGCAGAGCAACTAAGCCCGTGCACCACAACTACTGAGTCTGCGTGGCACAACTGCTGAAGCCCGCGCGCCTAGAGCCCGTGCTCAGCAACAAGCGAAGCCACCACAATGAGAAGCCCGCACACCACAACGAAGAGTAGCCCGCGCTCGCCACAACTAGAGAAAGCCTGTGCGCAGTAACAAGGACCCAATGCAACAAAAATAGATAAATTTATTTTTAAAAATTACATTCTATACAATCCAATGTATCTCAATGGTTAACAAAGAAGTAAACAAGCACAGCACAGACTTACCTAAATTCTTTAAATTCTGCAAAGAAACTCTGTCCTCTTCCTCGTCACTATTGAGAAAATCAGCTACAGAGTCGTCATCATCATCTGAGGAATATAACACAATCAACTGCTTATGACTGAAAAGGAAACCTAGGTGCCAGGTTTTAATAACTCCTCCAATAGATAAAAAATATGTGTGCACACACGCAACAGGAACAGAGATATGCAAGTGGGTACAGAGAAAAGTAACCTCTTCTCTGGAATTTGTGACTAAACCAACACTCCTTTTAGGAAAGCAAAGAACTGGTGACTAACAAATGCATCCTAGTGTTCACACGCTTACTCTATGTGTTTCCCTGTGGTCTGTGGGCTTCAGGGCCTTATTTTCCAGTTCTTGCCACCCCATCTCCCCTCACCATGGCGGCTCCAGCCCTGTCATGGCCAAAAAATTATATGCTCTGTAAAAACCCACTGACATGATTCCCCTGTGTTTTCAGTATGGGCAGAAATTTCTGAACCCAACAACAGTTTCTCAAAGGGCAGAAATGGGCCATCCCCTGGCTGTGAATGTTCAATGCCTCTTTGGTGGCACTGGGAGGGGCTGCTTCCAGAGCCTGGCATGGTGCATCGCCCGCAGGAGGCATTAAAGAAAGGCTAGATGGATGGAGAGGATGACAGCCCACTCCCGCTGTGAGCTGTGAGGGCCCAGCAGCAGCGAGACCACAGGCAGCACCCCGCCTAGGCCCAGCTCAGGCCCAGGGAGGGGGACCCGAAGCCGTGACTGGAGGAGGCTCCCGCCAGCAGTGTCCACCACTCACCCCCCAAACCACGGCGATGGCCTTTCTCCCCCTCTGCCTCCTGCCCCCATCTTTCTTCTCTTGAACCGTCAGGCTGCTCTGTAACATCACCCGTGGTGACGTGTGCCCCCAGCCCGAGTGCTCAGGGCTGAGGAAGCTGCTGCTCCCTAATGAACTTGACTCCTGGCCCCAGCCCAGTCTCCTCTCCTCTCTCCCTTCAACATATTCTATTTGAAACCCTTCTCTAGGTTTGTTTGTTTGCAGTCAACCAACCCACCTGTGTTTTCCACAGGCTTTTTAATTTTTGCAGTAAGATGCGATCTTATTTCTTTCTTGACAGGACGAGTTTCAAGGTTGCACTGCTCTGAAAAAGACACAAATCTCAGGTGCACATCGCCTCCGCTTGAGTGACAAGGCTGCACACGCCACCACCAAGCCAGCCTCTAGGGGGAAGCATATGTATGGGGTAAGGGACGTAGGTGGGGACGGGGATGAAGGAGAGGAAGTGAGAGATCCAGTGAAGGGCCAGGAGAAGCCTGAGCCCCGCAGGAGGGCTGAGGAAGCAGGCCTCGTGCACCCCTAGGGCCTGTCTCCAACCTCCCTGCCTGGCCGAATCGCACAGGGCTTTCACCACGATTCACTAGCACACTGACTTCAATCAGCATCAAACTGTGTTCTCAGCAGTTTCTGATACCAAATTTGCATGTACCACATGCCACTGGGGACACACAGCTGAAAGCCGTCAGGCCCTCGGAGGGGTTTAGTCGCACAGATGACAGAGATATGGACAAGATAAGGAGAGTCTGATCCGAGTCACCTGAGAGGGCGGGGAGATGAGAGGGGAAGGTGCTGCCAGGTGGAAAGAGCATGTGGGAAGAGGGAAAGGTCCATGGCTGGACCGGACCCTTGAAAGAGTAGGCAGATGCAAGGAGATGGTGATGAACAACCGGCAGCTGGTGGGCGGGGCAGGCCTGCATGTGGCCGGGGCACGAGAATGCCACACACAGGTCTGTCTGTCTTCCCCAGACCAGTGTCTCTCAGAGAGGGTGCTACTGTATTCAGGTTGGAAGGATCTTTAATGGTGTGGGATAACTTCACACACCCCAGGCGGTTTTTGTGAGTCAACACCAATAACCAGAAGTACCACCATCGCCTCCGCTACTGTGAGAACAAAAACACTGTGACCACGTGTCTCTAGGGAGAGCAATACCCAGGTTAAGAACCACCGCCAGAAGACCTAAATAGACAGTCCTCCAAAGAGGACATACAGATGGCCAACAGGCACATGAGAAGATGCTTAACATTGATAATTATTAGAGAAACGCAAACCAAAACCACAACAAAGTATCACCTCTCACCGGTCAGAATAGCTATCATCAAAAAGTCTACAAATAACGTGCTGCAGAGGGTGTGGAGAAAAGGGAATCCTTCTACACTGTTGGCAGGAGTGTAAGTTGGTGCGGTCACTATGGAAAACACTATGGAGGTTCCTCAGAAAACTAAAAATAGAATTACCATATGATCCAGCAATCCCACTCCTGGGCATATATCCAGACAAAACTATAATTCAGAAAGATACACACACCCCTATGTTCACAGCAGCACTATTCACAATAGCCAAGACATGGAAACAACCTAAATGTCCATCGACAGACGGATAAAGAAGATATGGTATATATATATACAATGGAATACTACTCAGCCATTAAAAAGAATGAAATTATTCCACTTGCAGCAACATGAATGCAACCAGAGATTACCATACTAAGTAAGTCAAAAAGACAAATACCATATGATACCACTTATATGTGGAATCTAAAATATGGCACAAATGAACCTATCTGCAAAACAGAAACAGACTCACAGACATAGAGAACACTTGTGGTTACCAAGGAGGATGGGGTTGGGGGAGGGATGGAGTGGGAGACTGGGGTTAGCAGATGTAAGCTATTATATATAGAACGGATAAACAACAAGGCCCGACTGTAGAGCACAGGGAACTATATTCAATATCCTGTGATAAACCATAATGGAAAAGAATATAAAGAAAAAAGAATTTTATATACACATATATATATGTATATAACTGAATCACTTCGCTGTACAGAAGTTAACAAATTGTAAGTCAACTATACTTCAATAAAAAAAACCATAAAGACCACCAGACATTATGCACCTTCTACAGTCATGCCTAAGACCACCTGTAGTTTTGCCAGAGAGACTGACCATGAGCTCTGATCCAGTCTCTGATCTGTCAATTTGTAAGAAACAGAGGATTGAGGAGTATGCCTAACTGCACCATGAGCTTGCAATCAGCAAAACCCAGACTGTGGGTAACTGTACAAGTCAAGTGGCTTGAATTCTTCAACAGAGAAATTGTAAAGAAAAAAAAAGAATGGAGGAGGAATTTACAGATTAAAAGAGACTTAAAAGAAATATCAGGGGCTTCCCTGGTGGCACAGTGGTTAAGAATCTGCCTGCCAATGTACAGGATGGGTTTGAGCCCTGGTCCAGGAGGATCCCACATGCCACGGAGCAACCAAGCCTGTGTTCCACAACTACTAAGGCTGCGCTCTAGAGCCAGCGTGCCACAACTACTGAGCCTGTATGCTGCAACTACTGAAGCCTGGGCACCTAGAGCCTGTGCTCCGCAACAAGAGAAGCCACCGCAATGAGAAGCCCGCGCACTGCAACTAATAGTCCACACTCTCCGCAGCTAGAGAGCCCACGCGCAGCAACGAAGACCCAATGCAGCCAAAAATAAATAAATTAATTAAATAAATTAAAAAAAAAAGAAATATCACATTTTTGGGGAATTCCCTGGTGGTCCAGTGGTTCGGACTCAGCGCTTTCACTGCTAGGCCAGGGTTCAATCCCAATCCCTGGTCAGGGAACTGAGATCCTGCAAGCTGAGCAGCATGGCCCAAAAACAACAACAAAAAAAAGAAAGAAAGAAAGAAATATCACCTTTTTTTTTTTAACGGACAAGACTAAATGATACACTTTCAGGACACGTATTTACGTAATAAAACTAAAAAAGCAAAGAAGTGATTACTATAAAAGTCAGGACAGTGGTTACTTTTTTTTTCTTAAAAAAGATTTTATTTTTTTGATGTGAACCGTTTTTTAAAGTCTTTATTGAATATGTTACAATATTGCTCTGTTTTATGTTTTGTTTTTTTGGCCACGAGGCATGTGGGATCTTAGCTCCCCGACCAGGGATTGAACCTGCACCCCCTGCATTGGAAGGCGAAGTCTTAACTACTGGACCGCCAGGGAAGTCCCAGGAGAGTGGTTATTTATAGGAAGCGAGGGCACTGGATCGGGACAGGTCATGTGGAGGGGTTCCCAGAGTGGATGGCAAAGTTCTATTTTCTTCATCTGGGTGGTGTTTGCCTTGTAATAAATAATTCAGTAGGCCAAAAAAAAAGTCTACAAATAATAAATGCTGGAGATGGTGTGGAGAAAAGGGAACCCTCCTACCACTGTTGGTGGGAATGTAAACTGGCACAGCCACTATGGTGAACAGTACGGAGGTTCCTTAAAAAACTAAAAATAGAGTTGCCATATGATCCAGTAATCCCACTCCTGGACATACATCCAGAGAAAACTCTTAATTCAAAAAGATACATACACCCCAATGTTCATAGCAGCACTATTTACAATAGCCAAGACATGGAAGCAACCTAAATATCCACAGAGGGATGAATGGATAACGAATATGAGGTATATATACACAATGGAATACTACTCAGCCAATAAAAAAAGAATGAAATAATGCCATCTGCAGCAACATGGATGGACCGAGAGATTATCGTACTGAGTGAAATAGGTCAGAGAAAGACAAATATCGTGATACCTCTTATATGTGGAATCTAAAAAAAATGATACAAGTGAATTTATCTACAAAACAGAAACAGACTGACATAGAAAACAAATTTATGGTTACCAAAGGGGAAGGGGTGGGGGAGGAATAAATTAGGAATTTGGGATTAACAGAAACACATATATAAAATAAACAATATAGACCTACTGTATAGCATAGGGAACTATATTCATTATCTTGTAATAACTCATAATGGAAAAAAACTGAAAAAGGAATATATATATATATCACTGAATCACTTTGCTGTACACCTGAAATACTGTAAATCAACTATACTTCACTTAAAAAAAAAACAAAACACTACTGCCAGAGAGACTGGAGTGTTCACCAAGGGAGTGAATTGCTCAAATCTGCATTTCAGAAAAACTACCCAGGCAGCTGCCAGGTCTCACAGTTAAGAGCTCCAGATTGCCCTACGGGGTCTTGGTGAGGCCTTACAGGGCTGCAGGACTAGAGGGAAGCGTTCCACACCCAGCTCCCCAACCCTGTTTCAGCAAAGCATTTCTACTTCTTTTCCATCTTGAGCTGACAGGTTTCTTTTGAAAATGCTCCAGAAACATTAGGGTTAAGGAACAAAAGCGGGGCGGGGAGTGGAGAGGGTGGTGCTTAAAACACACAGCTGTAAATCAGAGACTGGAGGGGATGAAACTACAGGCAAACCACCAATGAGGAACTTTAACCGAACAAGAGAGAGGTTGTGGGAAAGAGTCCCTAAGGACTAAGAGGCGCGGATTGAAGATACTTAAAAAATGCAGGCTTGACAAAGACCTTGCTCCTTAATGTAAACTGAACTACCTCCACGTTTCTATCAAGATATTATTTAAAAGAAAGAAAACGAAAAAAAAAAAAAAAAGAAAGAAAACGTCGTTAACCTCAGCCAGCGCAGCAAATGATGCGGAGCTGCGTCAGAACACTAAGAGGAAGGAACAGCTAAGGGAGACTTCTACGGCAAAACTGGTCGACTATTTTTAAAGAAGAAAAAGAGGATAACGGAATTCCCTGGCGGTTCAGTGGTTAAGACTTTGCGCTTCCAATGCAGTGGGTAGGGGTTCCATCCGTGGTCAGGGAACTAGGATCACACATGCCACGCAGCACATGCAAAAAAAAAAAAAAGAGAGAGCGAATGGTACGTAGAAGAAAAAGCAGGGCAGAAGAAAGGTTGTTTTTTTTGCGGTACTCGGGCCTCTCACTGTTGTGGCCTCTCCCGCTGCGGAGCAGAGGCTGCGGAGTCGCAGGCTCAGCGGCCGTGGCTCACGGGCCCAGCCGCTCCGCGGCATGTTGGATCCTCCCAGACCGGGGCACTAACCCGTGTCCCCTGCATCGGCAGGCGGACTCTCAACCACTGCGCCACCAGGGAAGCCCCAGAAAAAAAGGTTTTGATTGTGCAAAATGTGGAGAGACATTCGCAGTTAGAAGTATCCGCCCTCCCACCCCGCCCAGAAGGGGAAGCTCCCACAGTATCAGGCGTTACAAGGGCGGGAGGGAGCAGGGGACAACGACGGGACGTGGGGGCTGCGGTGCACGAGGAGAGGGCCTTACCTTTGTGCTCCCGGAAGCAGGTCAACGAGCAGCTGTAAAAACAAAGCCACAGGCCGCGTCAGCCCCGAAGGCCGCGCGGACCCTCTCGCCACCCCGCCACCCGTCCGCACCCCACAACCCCCGGCACTCACTAGGGCACGCGGCAGGCGGGGCAGCGGTATTTGGGTTTCTCCAAACAGATAACGCAGACAGCGGTGCTGCAATTCAGCGACGCCATGGTCTCTCCCAGGACGCGCTCCGTCCCGGCGCCCAGGCCTCTCGCCGCAGGTCCCACGTGCACACCTTTTCTTCCGTTTCCTTAACCAGGACCAATCAGCGCGCAGCACTTATTGGCAGTCAAAAGCAATGGATTGATCCAGCTCATTGTTTCAGGCCTGAGAAGTAGAAAGTCGATGCACTCGATGCGCAACCAGTACCCCCACCAGAGGTTCTCTCTGATTAGGTCACGGTCTCGAAGAACTTGTTATGTAGCCCTGTCCCTGTCCCTACGCGGCCCTGTGACTTGCAGCAAGTCATTGTCACTCTCCAGCTCTGTTGCCCTGTATGTAAAAAGAATACGTGGGATTAAATGTCCTTTACCTTCTGGCTTGGACTTTCTCAGTCTTGCACCGGCATTGGGTTCTCCCCGCACATCTCATTTGCTTCTCCCTTTGCGGAGCACAGGCTCCGGACGCGCAGGCTCCGCGGCCATGGCTCACGGGCCCAGCCACTCCGCGGCATGTGGGATCTTCCCGGACCGGGGCACGAACCCGTGTCCCCTGCATCGGCAGGCGTACTCTCAACCACTGCGCCACCAGGGAAGCCCCTCATTTGCTTTTTTTAGCAAATGAGAAGTCCACACACTGGCCGTTAAGTCACATGACACACATGTGCCCTTCCCAGCCATCTTTCGCACAGGAAAGGAAGATGAGGCTTGGCCGCTGATAGATATTTATTGAGCTCCAACTGTGAGCCCCGCACTGCCCAGATGCTGGGCTGGGGACACCCAGGGATTAGCAGGCACGGTCTCTGGGACCTTAAGGCTTAGAGTGAAGGCAGGAAGGAGAATCCCTGGGTGGAATTGATTAGCCAGGGAACAGATGAGTTACCTCTGGCCCAAAGGTGGGGATCCTGGTCCAGAAAGGTGAACTGTGATGGGCCTTGAATGCCACCTCAGGCTTTAGGAATAGACAAAGTCACATTTTATTGGGAGCCCTGCTCCTCCTCAAAGCCCTGAGCATTGTCCAGCCTAACCAGGGTTCCCAGCCCACACATGTGGGGTGCCCTCTTAGGGCCATAAGTCACCCTCACCCCAAGAACCTCCCCTTTGTGTTGGTCCATCAGCCCTCAGGATCTCACTATTATAAAAGCCCTGAACCACTGTCACAGTCTGTGAGGATGAATCTGCTACAACCAAAGCAGTCATTCAAGTCTTAGCTCCAACCCCTCTCTGGCTGTGTGACTTGGACAATTGTCTACCCTACATCTATTAGAGTGGATGTTCAGGCCTACTTTCCTGAGCTATTTAAATCAGAGAGGAGACTGTAAAAAGGTTTGTGATCTGAAGTGCTACAAAAGGTTATTTATGGGATATCTAGGAAGAGTCTGCAACTCTCCTGGAGCCCTGGTCCCCACCCCATGAGCGTGGGCTCCAGGCCCCAAGTCCCTGGAGCCCAGGTTGCTGGACCTCAGGCCCCTCTAAAAGGGTTTCACTGTCAGCCTCAGTGAGCCATGCTGGGGTTGGGCTTGAGTGACTATCCATCACTCCTTTGGCTTTGCCAGCCTGTCCTGAGGGCGCTGTCCAGTCCTCAGTGCTGAAGTGGCACCGGCCCCTCCGGTTGCCTACCTGCCCCAGCATGCAGCTGCCCCTGCCTCCAGCCTCCAAACAGAACTCAGGCCAAAATCCAACGTTTCCACACTGACCTAATAATCAGCAGCGTTCCTTGTATTCCTCAACAGTTGTGACCACTGCTGGTTTGACCCAGAAGTATTCCAGAGAGCCCATGCTTAACAGGGAAGGCCAGAGGTCAGTGACTTGTCCAGGTCACATTTGAACCTCATGCCCTGTCTGGCACCAGCACAAATTCTCCTACTAGGTACATCACCACTGCCCACCCAGACTTTTCCTGTGAGTTGTGTTTGGAGGCTGAGGCCATGGAGAGTCTCCACAATCTTCAGGGGCTCAACCTGACCCCACCCACACCCATACCATGCTGACTCTCCTACCTTTGGGTCCAGAGATGGTGACTCCAGCAAAAAGAAAATTCCTGGAATTCATCTCATGCACATTGCATTCAGTAAAAATACCTCTTCCTCTACTCTGGGTGACCTCCAGCTTCCCTGGAAAGACGTACCCCTCCTGCTCCAATATCCAGGAAAGAAGGTGGCTCATCTCTGATGGTGATGAGGTTGGGGAACACCAAGGAGTGAAGGACGCCGGGTACAGCTCCTCTGGGCAATGGCTAGTTCAGAGAAGAAAGACGGGTATGACTCTGGGCCCCAGCAACTAGATGTCCACACTGATGTGGCCTGGCTCTCCCTGGTCCCCTATCACGCCCTCCTAGCGGCTGTCTAAGGCTGCCTCACGCCTTCTCAGCGTCAGCCGAGGAGCAGGGCCAGACCTGGAGAGAGGCGAGGTAATAATCGAGGCAGAACGGTTTCCAGAGCTCCGCTGCTTGGCAGACGCTGTCCAGCAAATTCCAGGCGGGCCGAGCCCGGCGCCAACGCCAAAGACTGGAGACGCGCGTGGAGTCCCAGGCCCGGCACTCAGCACCGCCAGAGGGCGCTCCAGATCGAGATTGGCCCTGGCGTAGCCCGAGCTGGACTGGAGCACCGCTCGCACCGACCTTGCGTGGGAGGCCATACTGTGTCGCCGTTCAGGGAAGAGTAAATACAGGCCTGCCCGGCGCCTCGATCATCGCCAAGTGGCGGGAGAGAGGGTCGAGAGTGCGGGGCTGAAGCAGACGACCGGATGGGCAGCGGTGTCTCTTCCATGAAAGTAAGGCCCACGCAAGGCCAGCCGAGGGCTCCAAATGCGCCTGGCTGTCCAGGGGCAGTTCCCGCGGTGCCCACCGCCCCGCGCTTCTCGGCAACCCCTGGGGTGGATTTCCAGCTGGAAGGTGGCCACCCCACATTGCCCTTGTGAAAGGTTAATAGTACTTCGGGAGTTTTCAGGTTACTAACTAGGGTGCACCACTGCCCTGCACCTTCCCTGATGCCATGATGGGGCGGGCACGCGGGCTGCAAGTTGCCCTTATCTGAGGCCAGATGTTGATAAGGCTGGGCTCTCGGTGTAGCTAAATCTCAGCTTCTTTCTGCAGCCCTAACATCTCTATCCCTCTGCCCTCTTGGCGGCAGCAAGAGAAGTGTCTAGGATGGTATCTTTAGAGGACCTATACTGCCCGGTTCTCACCTCCTCCCCGCCACTTACTCTCTGGTATCTAAGAGAGTAGTTCAGATGTTAAAGGGGGTGAGGTTGCTGGTGCGAATCAAATAAAGGAGGCTTGAGGTTCTGCTGGAGTGGTTTCCAAGTCATCCATTTCCAACTCTCTGCGTGTTATTTTATCTTGAAAATGACATTCATTCCCCAACTCTAGACAATGACAGTCTGACCTTCAGTTAGACTCCAAGGAGAACTTCCAAACAACAAAAGAAAAATAATTGCATGATCTACAGCAGAACGGATGGGAGAGCACAGACCTTAAAGGTCACCGTTGTCTCATGAATACACCCTACTGCCCACAACCCCACACTTTTCTCCCACCCTCTCCCACTTGCAAATCAATATATATCTCCCACCGTACGTACATTTCCTAGGACAGAGATCAAAGGAATCAGGACTTCCCAGACAGATTCTCCACGAAACCTCTAAAGGTCCCATATGGAGTGGGAGTGGGGCTTGCACAGACCTCCTAACTCACCTCTATCTCCCACATGGCATGTCAGGGAGGGAGAATTTCCCCCTCTATGCTTCTTGAGTTCTTGTGGTTGCCGCTAATAATAACTAGTGCACTAATAGTAATTAGTGCACTAATAATAAAATTGACACAAGAGAAAAAGAAACAAAATTTAACTCATACGCATGGAGGTCCCATAGAAATGAAACCTAAGAATAGGCCAAAGCAGGCAGCTTTTATACTTTCTAGACAAAGAAACAATAAATTTGTGAGGAATTGACAAGACAAAGAAACAAATTTTGGGTGCCCAACTACTGAAGAATTAGAACAGAGTTTGGGCTTGGGATCGTAAATTGAAGTAGCAAGGATTGTTTATATCGGCTTCTCGGCCCGAATTCCCTATCTTTGGCAATAAGGGGGTCCTTCTACCTCCAGATGCAGGGAGTGCATCTTTCACATGAAAGGTTTTTTTCCCTGCTTTCAAGGAGACAGCAAGGAGGGTCAGAGCATCCCTCTTGCACTGGCCATTTCTTAAGCAACTTTAATTCAAAATAATCAATACACCACCGAAGCACATTTTGCGGTGGATTACTCTGGGTCCCAACACAGAAGTGCATAGGAACTCTGCTCAGTGGCGAGCAGGGAAAAGGACGTAAGACCCCGTTTCCTTCCCCATCTTTTAAAACTAAATACAAAATAACAACTTTCAGACAAATAAAAGCCATGAGAATTCTTCATCAGCAGATCCACACAAGCAAGTTATTCTGGCAAAATAGGAAAATGATGCCGGATGGAAATTAAAATCACAGTATAACACCACACACCTACTAGAATAACTAAAATGACAAACACTGGCAATACCAAGTGCCCGTGAGGAGGCTGCTATGAACTGGACGTTTGTGTCCCCTCAAAATTCATACATTGAAATCCTAACCCCCAATGTGATAGTATTAGGAGGTGGGGCCTTTGGGAGGTGATAAGGTCATGAGGATGGAACCCTCGTGAATGGTACTAGTGCCCTTATAAAAGATACCCCAGAGAGTTCTCGTGCCCTCCTTCCACCATGTGAAGACACAGTGTGAAGATGACAGTCTGTGAAGCAGGAAGCGGGTTCTCACCAGACACCAAATCTGCTGGCACTGTGATCTTGGACTTCCTAGCCTCCAGAACTGTGAGAAAAAAGTGTTTGTTGTTTAAGTCACCCATTTTATAGTACTTTTGTTACAGCAGCCCAAGTGGACTAAGACAGAAATTGGTACCAAGAAGTAGGTACTGCTGTAATAAACCGAAAAATGTGAAAGTGGCTTTGGAACTGCATAATGGGTAGAGGCCAGAAGAGTTTTGAGATGCATGCTAGAAAAAGCCTACATGGCCATGAAGGGACCTTCAGAGGTGATTTGAGTGAAGGCTCAGAAGAGGAGGAGAGCTATATCTTAGAGAATATGTAAGTGGTGGTGAACAGAATGTTGGTAGAAATACAGATGGTAAAGGCTTTTCTGATGAGGTCTCAGAAGGAACTAAAGAACATTGGAAATTGGAGGAAAGGTGATCCTTAGTATAAAGTGGCAAAGAACTTGGCTGAACGATATTCCTGTTTCAGAGTTCTGTGGAAGGCTGATCTTGCAAGTGACGACACTGGATGTTTAGCTGAAATTTCTAAGCAAAGCGTTTGAAGGTCTGGCTTGGCTCCTCTTGACTGCATCCGATAAAATGTGAGAAGACAGAAATGACTTAAAGGAGGAATTGCTAAGCAAAAAAGAGCAGAACTTAAAGATTCTCAGCCTATGCATATTGAAAAAAAATGCAAACACTAACGGTGTGGCCAAGCAACCATCTGATCAGGAGAATTGTAGAAACTAGGCACTATTCTTCAAAACAGCCTGTGGAAAACAAACACGGGTTGGTTGACTTAAACTGCAATGAACACAGAGATGCATCTACTACAAATCCTTACTTCCTCCTCCTTCGGCCAAAATTTCCAGCCACATTTCGTTCTGACTTTGCCTGGGCAGCCATACCCTTCCTTCCAAAGTGCTCATGGGGAATCCATAAAAACGCTATCATAAAATGTTGTGGAGGAAGTTATACAACAATGAGAAAACCTTTAAAGAGAACCTAAGTAATGGAATGCTAATCTTCTGTACTAAAAACGCTAATTATCCCCTAATTCATCTAAACATTCAAGGAAATTCTAATTTATTTTTAAATTTTTGCTTTATTTTTTTATTTTTGGCTGCATTGGGTCTTCGTTGCTGCGCGTGGGCTTTCTCTAGTTGCAGCGAGCAGGGGCTACTCTTGGTTGCGGTGCACGGGCTTCTCATTGTGGTGGCTTCTCTTGTTGCAGAGCATGGGCTCTAGGCACCCGGGCTTCAGTAGTTGCAGCACGCGGGCTCAGTAGTTGTGGCATGCTGGCTCTAGAGCACAGTCTTAGTAGTTGTGGAGCATGGGCTTAGTTGCTCCGTGGCATGTGGGATCCTCCTGGACCACGGCTCGAACCCATGTCCTGTACATTGGCAGGTGGATTCTTAACCACTGTGCCACCGGGGAAGTCCCAGAAATTCTAATTTAAATGCCCCCATAAGAAGTCTTTGGCTAGGAGGGATCATGGTTGAATGGGCCTGTGCTTTACAAGCAGGATTTCATTTGAGTAAATCCAGCCACACCTTAAGCCTTGAGCTCAGGGACAGTGTGGGTGAACATGTGGACATGTCCTATAATGGACAGAGGCTAGGAAGAAAGAGATGCAGCCTTAGCCCTGGTCTGGGAGCACCAGGGCCTGAGATACCTCCCAGAGGGAAAGCTGCAGTGTGGGTGGTGTCACCCACACCTCACACACGAGGAACCCGAGGCCCAAAAGCGTTTCATGACTTGCCCGAGCCACCCACGCAGCAGCGGCAGAGCCGGCCTTCCAACCCAGCTCTGTCTGGTGCCTGGTCACCCTCCTCGCCCCCTCAGGCCAGACAGTCAGACACTCCCCACTCCGCCATGCGCACTTGGTGAGGGAAGCAGTTACCTGCAGCCTCCGGGCATGTTTCTGAGCTGACCAAGAGCTAGTTGCTAATAATTTCGGCCTCAAACAGAAAAAGGAGAAAAACAAGTGTCACTAGAGCTATTAGCAACCTGTTCCTGCAGGGATGCCAGCATTGCTGTAAACGTTTGAATATATTAGACTCCTTCATAAAGGTTAGGTCCTCAAGTAAGCACAAAAGTCAGAAATTACTTGTAAGAACAACCCTGGAACAACCCATAGCTGGGAGAAATCCCTAAGCTTTTAAGAGGCAGCGGGAGCTGAGACTGTCTGAGGCCCCAGCCCCCTCTCAGTCTCCATTCAGGACACTCACTCAGGGAGCAGAAGGGAGTCAGGGAGTCCGATTTACCTGCGCCTTCTTTTTTTTTTTTTTGTTACATCTTTATTGGAGTATAATTGCTTTACCATGGTGTGTTAGTTTCTGCTTTATAACAAAGTGAATCAGTTATACATGTACACATGTTCCCATATCTCTTCCCTCTTGCGTCTCCCTCCCTCCCACCCTCCCTATCCCACCCCTCTAGGTGGTCACAAAGCACTGAGCTGATCTCCCTGTGCTATGCGGCTGCTTCCCACTAGCTATCTATTTTACGTTTGGTAGTGTATATATGTCCATGCCACTCTCTCACTTTGTCACAGCTTACCCTTCCCCTGAGCCTTTTGAAATTCCTTCTTCAGTCTCTGTCTCTCTTTCCTTCTCTCTGTCTCTCTTCCCCCATCTCTTCTTTGTTTCTCTTTACTTTCAAAGCCCCCGGTTGAGTTTGTCCTTAACCTCTCGCGGCCCCAGTGGGCAGCAAGGCAGCACCCCTGGGGGCCACAGCCCCACACCCCCAAGCCCCTGTCCCCATCCCCATGCCGCAGGAGTGCTGTGCCTGAGCCCGCAGCTGTCCTCATGCCCCTCTGCTTCCCGGGTGACTCAGACATTTCCCACACAGACACTGGTGAACTCCTGGGTGGTGCCACAGTGCACTGGGGCAGGAGTGGTTTCATCTGGGTGGCAGATGTGGCTACTGCTCTAGTTAGAGAATGTTCTGGAAGAGAGGTTGCAGCTTGACACCCTTGGGACTTGGGGGCCATCCCAAGGGCAAGAGACTAGAGCCCCTCAGTGCACTGCTGTCTGCATCCCCGTCCCCAGCCTCAAGGATGCCTCTGCCCCCTCAACACTCCACCGGCCTCTCCTGCCGTTCCTGCCTCTAATTTCCCTGTCTGTCCCTTTGGGAAGGGGAAAGCCAGAGGTGGCTCCCAGTTTTCTGAGGAGTTCAGGGATCCGGCCATTCCGAGGAGTCTTGTAATCTCACTTGAGGCTGTGCCCTGGACTGGCCTGTGACCTCTATTCCTGTGGGTCTCCCTGGGCAGGGGGCAAAGACTGCTTGGTGGCCAGCAGGGTGGCTCCTTCCAACCTGGAGTCCCAAGCCTCGCAGTGAGTGCCCAGGAGGGCAGCCTATCCCAGCCCTCTCACCGCCCCGTGTGCAGGAGTAAAAGGTAGATGAGACCTCCCAGCACTGTGAAGCCCGAGTGGGTCCCACTGCTTGTCCTCCTGCATTCATGGGGCCCACTCCCACGGACTTGGAATTTACCTGACAGCTCTGATCACCTTCAGCTGTCCAGTGCCTCCCTGGATACACAGCAGATGAGAAACAGCAGCAAGATCAACCAGGGGCCAGGGGACTTTGGGCAAGAGACACAGAACAGGAGAGCACACTGTGGAGAGAGGGGGAGAGAGGGGAGAAGAGAGAGTGAAAGGAAAGTGACAAAACTGTGCCCAAGACAGGAGGAAAACAGAGCAGAACTGTCTCAACAGGGCCCACTGGGCCCCAGGTAAGGCTGTATGGGTGTCCCACTCTGTTTAGACGGGACCCATTTCCTATTCCCAATGCCCCACCTGTCCTCTCCCACCAAGATTCTGCTCCCACTAAAGGGAGGGCACATAGCTGAATATGGTAGATGGTGGTCAGGAAGTGGTAGGGGGATAATTCAGTCCCCTCCCCAACTTCAGCCCCGCAATGGGAGCTTGCACACCGATTTAGGGACTAGAATTGGCTTCCTCCCCTGGTTGGGCACTTCCCCTGACAGAGACTGGGACCTTGCCTGCCTCCTTTTGAGGGATGCAACAACCTGCCCCACAGGCTCATTAAAGAGATGAGAACCATGAGATTCAGGCTCCCTCAGTGTCTCCACTGAACTTACCACTCTACCTAGATCCCTACCTACCCCCTCCTAAGTCTCTCCAGCTCTGATTCCCCACTGGGCTGTTGCTCCCAGCAATGCCCAAAGACCTGGCTCCTTCACAAAGACCCCTTATGGGTAAGAAATATACAACTTATTTACAAATGGTTTGAAAACAATAGTGATAATAACAAATGTGTGTGTCTGCTAGAGAGACAAAGACAGCGAGAGAGTGAGAGAGAGACACAGAGAGAGAGAGAGGAAGCAGAGAATCGTGAAAAGTTGGCAAAATATTAAGGATAATTAAATGAACGATGGGTTTACTGAAGTTCTTTGTACCACCTTCTTCTGTACATTTCAAAGCAGTATTTCAAAGTAAGAAGTTTAAAAATGAACATAGCTTAAAAAAAGTGGCCGCTCCTGCATCGGGGTCTCCCCTGGAGCTTTCTTATCATACAAACATGCTGGAGCCATGCTGCTCATAGGCCTTTTCTGATGGCACAGCACCATCCACCTCTACCCGATTGCTCTTCTTCAAGAGAACACCTGGAGACAGCTGATATCTGCACTTCGTCTTCCCAATTAGGTCCAAACAGCTCTGGTTCTCCTGGCAGCTGGCAAGTGAGCTCTCCTTCAGTCACATTCTCCACTTACGGGGACTGGAGGGGACAGCTGTGGCCTGAGAACCAGTCCCACTGCCTCACAGCCACAACAAACCCCAGAACAGTGTCCAAAACGCAAGGATGGGACTTCCTCGGTGGCGCAGTGGTTAAGAATCCGCCTGCCAGTGTAGGGGACAGGGGTTCGAGCCCCATAACCCACAACTACTGAGCCTGTGCTCTAAGAGCCCATGCGCCGCACCTACTGAAGCCGACGAGCCTAGAGCCCCTGCTCTGCACCAAGAGAAGCCACCGCAATGAGAAGCCCGCGCACCGCAACGAAGAGTAGCCCCCGCTTGTGGCAACTAGAGAAAGCCCTGCGCAGCAAGGAAGACCCAATACAGCCAAAAATATAAATAAATAAATAAATTTAAATTACAAAAAAACCCAAAAAACAACACTTAATGCTGCCAGGACCTTGAGAGCTTGTCTGGAGTATCTAGCACAGCTGTATGTGTCGCCTTGACAAAGGCGAGAAGTGGTCACGCAGACTGAGGGTCCACAAGTCCATAGCGAGACGCTAAGTTCGGAGCTGCTGTTCGGCGGTTTTCCCGCATAGATCTGAGATGGAATGACGTTTCCCCAGTGCTGCAGGTCCTACCCAGCGGTGCCCTTCCCCTGCCTCGCTGTGTGGCTTGGAACGATTCGCAGACCCTCTCTGGGCCAGGAGCCCGACTGCACACCCTGCGGTACGTAAGACCTGGCGGCTGGGGCGACAGGCAGCACACGTGCCCGCGGAGCCGGGTTCTCCCCGCCTACGTCATTTGCATAACAAGTCCCGGCACGGGCTTAACGCGACTCTGCGACTCTGGCTAGGTCAGGTGACATGCCTCACAGCGCCGCCTACAAGGTTTCGCAGGAATCTGCACTTCGGCCTTGTTTTCCAGAGCTCGCCATCCTCGCCGAAGAAAGAAAGGCGAGGCTCGTCCCCTGACAAATAATTATGGAGCTGCTTTTACTTTCTGCCCGGCACGGAGGGGGCGCTAGGGCCGTGGACAGAAGCCGATCGGGTGCCTTTCCTGGGAGTGGGGATGGGGTGGGGAGACTGAGCAGGGAGCAAACCAGTGACCTGCCCCGTGACCTCTGCACCAAGGGAGTGAAATTCAGGATGAGGGGCCCCAGCCGGGCAGAACATGCCCAGGAAGTTCTGGGTCCAGGAGCCTTCGGGCGTGGACTGGTCAGAAATTAGTCCCTGCAGGCGGGTTGTGACCGGCCTGGAGCAGCCAGGCTTAGGAGACTGGGCGTTACGTATAGACTGAATCGCGCTTTAACAGGAGCCCTGCGCCTCATCTCAGCCCCAGAGGGGATCCCAACCTGTTAGGGTTTCTCGTGCCACGTGCGCTCGCCCTTCCAGAGCCTTAATTCGCCACCCTCTTTGCCTTCCCTTCTTTGGTCAAATCCTGGGCCCGCGCGCGGTCAAGGATGCCTTGTCCCCTCCCTCCCCCTCCCCCCTCGGGGCCCGCCCCAGAAACTCCGCCGTGTCCCCTCGGTGAGAAGTTCTGACAAAGAGTTGACAGTCATCCTCATAGGGCGCCGCTCGCTTGCTCCGAAGGCGCTGTCCAGCCCACGGTGCTGAAGCGTCCCGGGCCCTGACAACTGAGAACAGAGATCATTCCCAACCTGGCAGGCTCCAGGCCTCGTCCATACTGGCCTAATAATCCACAAGGATCCTTGTCTGCCTAGCGGGTTTAAACTGGAATCGCCTCAGGGGCCCGAGCTTCCATGAGGAGGCCCGGGGAGAGTGGACAGTAGTCAATTCCTGTGCTCCATCCTGAAACCAGTAGAACTATGGGCATCTCCACTGACGCCTCCTGACTTATCCTATGAGTCATATGGGGAGACTGGGCCCAGAGGAGGGTCCATTTACTTTCCAGGAACTCAATTCTTCCCACTTGCATCCAAACCCAGCAGGCCCTGCTACCTGAAGGGGGTGGGGTGAGACCATCCCAGGAATTTCTCCCATACACATTCCCTGTAGTGAAGATGCCTCTCCCTCCATTCTGGATGACCCTCAACTTCCGTGGATGTTCACAACCCTTCCCCCCAACCCAACGTCCAGGCAGGCAGGGGAGATCAGGTGTCCCCAGTGAAGGGCTCTGCAACTTGGAGTCTAGAATCTTGCCCTCGAAGGAGTAAATGGCACGGTTGCCCAGTGACTTGAGCATAATTGTGATGGCAGTGATACTGGGCAGCATGAAGAAGCTGGGTACAGGGCAGAAATCAGACCAGAAAAGAGGGCTGGTAAGATGCCAGAAGGAGTAGCCACTGGTATCCAGGACCAAACCCACACTGGACCCCACAGAGCTATCGTGGCAGCCCAGGACCCAGTCGTACCTCCTTAGCATCAGCCGAGCCTCAGTTCAGGCTTGGAGAGAGAAGTACGAGTCTAGGCAAGAGAGTTTTAAGAGGGTGCTCCAGAGGAGCTGACTCTGTGGCCAGCACGCATTTGGCAAAAGTAAATGTCATGTCCTGGTCTCCTCAGATGCGTGAAAGTACCCAAGTTCAGTGCCCATAACCGCCAGGCAACTCCAGTTTAAGGTTCTCCGGGGTATATAGTGCATTCTGGCTGGATGTGGCTCAAAGAGCCCCAGGGGACAATGCACGGTGGCAGGGTTGGGTTCACACCATGAGGAAGAGCAGGCGGCAGCCTCAGGATTGTTGAATCATCCCAGAATGAGGATTCTTAAAATTGTGCTGCATGGTGAATCAAGTTGCTTGACCCCTCTCCTTATTCAGGGTGCCTGCTGGTGCACCCTGGATGAGTGCCTGAAGATGGGCAGTGCCGCTTAGCCCCTTGAAGGGACATACCTGTGTGGGACAGCAGTGGACAGTCAACCACAGAATGAGAAGGTCTAACCCCATCCCCCAACACATGGGCCCCATACTCTAGCCCCCATGGCAATGGATTAATAACTAACGTTGCCCTGGGCATCACAGTGACCCCAGGAGAGCAAAGTGGATATTAGCAAACCCATTAGGCAGATGGGAAAACAGGGGCAGAGAAGGCATGGGACAGTCACCAAAGCCCCAGAGAAAGTCCAACTTTTTTTTTTTTTTTTTTGGATCTAGCTCCCCGATCAGGGATTGAACCTGGAGCCATGGCAGTGTAAGCTCTGAGTCCTAACCCTGGTCTCCTAGGTAATTCCCCCAACTATCCGATGTTCAGCTTATTGCAACACCCTCCTTCCTGTCACGTGCTCTCCACTTAATCCGTCAAGGAGCCGATGCTAATGGCGGTCCCCTCCTTCAAAGCCAAACAGCTCTGGTTGCCACGGTAAGTAACAAACAGCCACTCCAGACTCTCAACAACAGAATCCTAGGAGGACGTGAGGAGGGCTCCTGTGGCCTGAGGGTCAACATGTCTGACCTTGGCTGGCCCCACAGCCATGGAAAGGACATGGACAGCATCCAAAGAAGGAAGGGGGCTGCTGGGCAAACTCTGGGAGAAGCGTAGGGGGCCTGGTGCAAGTGCTGACACCTTCCGCACGTGCTGGGCCCTCAGGTGGTGAGCCAGAAGTGCTGCCTAAGCTTCTTATTGCAGTAGGAGAGCCACAGCTGGGCCAGGCTCTTGTTGGGGAAGAATGTGAGTCCAAACACATCCAGCAAGCCTGGCAGAGTGAGGACAGCAGAGGGGCCACTGCAGGGGACCACCAAGAAAGTTTCTCTAAAGGCCGGTGTGGCAGGGATCCTGCCAAATTGAATGACTGGGCATCCATGTGAACTAGAATTCCACAGCCTGGATTACCGGAGGCGAGGTTGGGAACATCACACTGGGCAGTGTACAGAGCAGTAACAACGCCCCATACACATCTCCAGGGTGGTCCCCAACCCCTCTTCTGCCCCCATCCCCAATTCTGTATACTCTCATCCCCTCAAAACAGGCAGAATTGGAGGCTAAGGTTAAGAAAAATTTCCCAGAGAGTTACAGAATGGATTTTTTAAAAACAGATAAGAAACTAAGATGATTAAACTTCATATTAGTAGGAGTTCTAGAAAGAGAAAATGGTAGGGAGGAAATTTTTAGAACTATTTTTTTAATCCCCATAATGGAAGAGCATGAGTTGACAGGTTG